TTATAATCAATTAAAATATTGATTAAGAAAATAGAATAAAAATTATTAAATTAGATTCAAATGATGTTTTAATATAAATAATAATTTTTAAATCTTGCTCAAACTTTTATTATCTTATGGCTACATGATTAGAGTTGTTAAAATGACCCTTTGTTCGTGAACAACTCGTGTTCGGTTCGTTAAGCAAACGAGCCGAAGAACAACACACTTTTTGAGCTCGAAATATAAACGAGCCGAACACGAGCTATGCTAGTTGAAACTGCTTATTTATTGCAATAATTTAAAATAAATAGGCTTTAAAATTGAATAAATAGAAATAACAGACAGACTATGAACACTATATATATATATATATATATTACAAAACATAATTATTATATAACATAATAGTGATAGCCAGGCAGAGTTCGTCATCATAAAATCAACAAAATCAAAACCAAAACAACAGACAGGTATGCAGCTGGATGAATTCAATTATATACTGATTCTCCCCCAAAACTCTGCCAATTAAAAATATAAAAGATGTTCTATTAAAAAATGTAAGATTTAATCAAATTGTAAGAGATTTTTTACCCAACTGAGTGAATGCAGTTACAGTTAATGTTATCCATGATTGCAAAGAAAAATAAAGAACTATCAATAGTAAATACATGTTACCAGACAAGCTTTGTCAAACAGCTTTTATCCTTATCAAATTATAATGTCCTATGAAACAAGAATGCAGGAAAGAATTCAATCAAATAACATTAAAAAAGGGGAAGGAAAAGTGAGAAATCAGTTGATTTCATATGAACAAATATTTTCAGATTGTTGACAATCCAACAATTAGTTAAATGAAGATAGTGGGAGGGGAAAATATTGTGACTCCACAAAATGAATCTTCCAATTTATATTCATGTAATTCCTGTGAATCTTCTGAACGATTATAACTTATAGAAATGGTACTCAACCGCACCTCTGAAAAGCTAGCTATGCCATACTCAATGTACAGTCTATTAAAATTGTTCACTATATCACATCAACCATAGAGCTTCTTCCATTTAGATTGCAAAAAAAATTATTTCAAATTAAAGGTTCAGTTTTGCAACCTTAGCTTTCAATGGCGCGATCTCTCTGAACTCATTCTACCACTCAATCACTTTTCGACTCTCCTCTTTCATAAAAAAGTAAGATTTTGTTCGCTTCTACTCGATTAACCATGAAATTTCCTACAAAGCTTTTGGTTGACTGAAAAATATTTTCTTGAAAGGCTGACTACAAAATTATTTTGGCCTTGATCAAAAATCACATGGGCATAGTTGACTTGAAATATCTAGAAATTTCTTGGATGACTGAGACCAAGAGATCTACAGGGTCAATTGACCAAGAAACCCCTTGTTAGCCAATCACAAAAGTCAGTTGACCTAGCAAATTTGCCTCTGCTCAATCTTTCCTCATCTCTCCTTCAATTATATAAAAAAAAATTTCCCATTCTACTTTATCTCTCCATGCAAGAAGAACAACTAGGTTTTATAGCGAACCATGAAACATTTATAAGTTTCCGGGGTGTAAAAATTACTTGGGGAGAAAAACTCCTTGATTAATTATTCATAAATAGGGTACATTCATATAGCGAAACAAATCTTTCTTTAATTACAAACTTACCATACATTTCTCACCTAAATTAGGAAAGAATAAAATCTTGAACAAAAAAATAGTAGAGGAAAAAAACCAATCAAAGATTTTGTTATATACCTCAATCAAATCCTCTTAGATTTGAAGGCAGCGGCCCGCCCACAAGTGAGAGGTAAATATTGGAAAAATAAAATCTTCTCAGATTTCCCACTTTCCTTAAGTTGGGTCGTATTAAGTTGTAGAGACCGAGTTTGGTATTAAATTCTAAGGTGCTAAAAGAAAGAGCTTTGGTGATGAGATCAACAACTTATTAGTGTATTGGGGTGTAGCTTAGTTGTATAATTCTCCCATTGAACTTTCAGAGACGAGGTGTCTATCAACTTCAACATACTGGTCATGTCATGATGTACAAAACTTTTTGCACTACTAATAGTTGCTTGGCTATCACAGAAAACCTGTATAGGCCTATTGGAAAACATCTTAGTTTTCTTGATAATGTCTGAATCAAATTCCTTCACAGATTCCTAAGGCTTGATTTTGCACTGCTTCTTGAAACAATAACTTCTTACTTCTCCATGTAACCAGATTTCCCCACACATATGAGCAATAATTTGTGGTCGATCTTATGTTAGTGAGTTCTCTCGCCCAAATAGCATCAATGTAGACTTCCACTTTTCTAACACTGATTTTCTCAAAAATTAATCCACAACCAGCAATGTTCTTAAGAAACCTCAAAACCCTGTAAACCAACTCTTCATTTGGGTTATTCCAGTGTTGCCTCACAATGCTGACGGAGTATGCAATATTTTATATAGTATGTGACAGATATATGAGTTTTCCTACAAACATTTGGTACCTTACTTATCTGCGGATATACTTTCTTCTTCCCTGTTAAACCTCTTGTTGGGTTCCATTGAAGTACCAGCAAGTTTGCATCCAATCATCCCTTTTGTCTTTAGCAAATGTAAGATGAATATCTTCTGTGATATAACAATCCCTTTCTTGGACCTTGTTATCTCTATAGCTAGAAAATATCTCATGTTTTCTACGTCCATGATTTCAAACTTAGCAACAAAATTTTTTTTTAATTTTAGAAATTTCTTTGTCATCATCACTAGTAATAATCATATCACCAACATATATGATTAATGCAACAATCTTATTTTCATGAGTATGTTTTATAAACAATGTATGATCAGCTTTACTTTGAGAATATCCTTTGATTTCATAATTTTAGCAAACCTTTCAAACCATGCCCGTGGTGATTGTTTAAGCCCATAAAGAGACTAATGCGGGTGCGTCAATAACGGCGCAGGCGCAGTATAGAGAAAAGTGTGGGCTTCTCCCGTGATGTCCTTCATCTGGACCGGATTGGTTTAGACTCAAGAGGGCCAATCAGCTCTCCCACGAGGGATTGGCGCCTCTTTTCCATAGGAAGATCCCATCCTAATTATCTAGGGCTTATATATGTAATTCTTGTTTTGATATTTTTATTTTTTGTCGCAAGTTTATTTAGAACAACTCTCAGTGTCTTTTTCTACCTTCTAGAGTTGCGTTCAAGGGATTGGGTGGCGCTCTAGTTGTATCTCTCTCACAAGGTGGTGATTATCTTCCTTATCCCATTCCACATCCTCCCCACGTCAATATTGGTTGTTGTATCTCGTTGTTGCCGCCCACAACAACATTTCGATTGTTGTTTTCTACAGTTCCAGCCGCCGCCATCATCTTACCCTCCCTCCTCTTCGATGTCATCATAGTTTCAGTCCTCTACCTTCATTGTCACCATTGTTCCCTCCCTCGTATTGCTATTTAGACTGTTGTCCAACCATCCATAATATAATGTTGCTGTCAACGGAAAAACAACACTGTTGTTTTCTTGTTATCCCCTAGCCGTTCCAGCAATTCCCAACGCACCTCACTGCTCCGCTTACCATCCCACTTACTACCTTAGCTTCCCAAGCCCTACGCTTCACTGTCAATACAACTTCAGCTCATCCTTATGTTGTTCCAACCATCTACAACCCATTTCAGCTATCTATCTCTACTCCCCACCACCTAACCAACATCCACCACCTACGAATCGAGCCAAAGTTTGACTTTGTGTCATGTTTGTTGTAATTTCTCTTTCAAGTGTGATTGATTCAACCTCCTATTTGTTTTCAATAATAACATTTAGTTTTCCTATTATGATTTGGGTTAAGTCCGATATTAGAGACTCTTTGAGTTTGCATACAAGGTTTCTGTTGGAATCATTCAGAAGTCCTCCAAATCCCCATTCATGAAGGCATTTTTTTATCTCAAG